AACTAATGATGTTGTATAATTTTCTTTCAGAACAGAATGTATTGCAAATTTTACCGTTGGCACATGAGTACCAGTCTTCAGTAGTTACCGACTGCGAAAAATTCATGCAAAGCATGTGCTGCAAAGCAAAAACCTGACAGTGAAGACACTACTGGATTACATCCTTGCAGCCGAAAAATATGATCTGCAAAAGTTTCTAGACACGGCTACGACATTTTGTGCTCATGTGGATTTCGATCTTCTCAACGGAAAGCAATTTGAAAAAAAAAACATGTACAGAGTTGTAAACTACAGGGAAACAGTTAACAATGATATATCTCTTCAATGTTCAAGAATTCATCCCAAAACTCGTCTTGCTATAGCGGAAAAAAGACTTAAAACTCTTGAAATGCGTAACAGAAAGAACACGAACAAAGACCCAACAGATGAAAATGATAAAGAAATATGTATGTCATTTGGTTAATATCTTTATGGATATTATTATCTTTTTATAACTTATATTTCTAGGGAGAGGGCTTAAATAAACTTTGCCAGTTGCGCAATCCCGTTCGTTTTCTTTATTTGTGAATAAAATTTTGAACAACATTAAAATACTGTAGACATACTTTTTTCCACGGGGTCATAATTCCGCGGAATTCAACTTTTCGCTTCATAGAAACATTTTAAATTTCCTCGACAAATTACCGTTCACAGTTTGTCCTCAGTACATATAACATTCTGCAAACTTTAAATTCAATTCATCTCTATTTGGCTTCCATTAGAAATTGAACCGACATTAAAAAACCGACAAGCGTTTGTGACAAATACAATGTGTATTGTACGCCTTCCACACTCCTAAAATAATATAAAAATTTTCTTTTCCATGAAATCAATTGTTGTCTAAATCCACTGTATGTCTGTCTCAAATGTGTACCCTTCATCATTATCAATGTTTGAATTAAACAAACTGAGAATTTCACACATTCAGGGTATAAAGAAAATATTTTAGTATATATAAATGCTGTTTGGTTTTACCTCAAGGTCATTTAGATCTGGTCAAGAAATTGAGAGGAAAAGCTTCTTGTTTTTATGACTAGGTTTGAAGTTAGTATTCTATTACAGCTCATCAACGATTTCTAGCTCTTGCCAATTGATTTAAATATTGTTTTGTAGACGTAACAAAATAAGAATGGCTCGGTCGATATTTGCTGAGAATGGTAACAAAGCCGATAATAAAAGCAATGACAATTCTGAGTTAGCTCCTGACTTTTCAGAAACAGATGTGACCTTGCTTGTGGAGGGTAGAAAAATTCTCGCAAGTGAAATAAATTCAATATTGAAGAACAAAATTACATTTTTTTTGTTTTATAAATATTTGCCTATATAGATTCTGATACTTCCTTTCTGATAATTGTCACAATGTGAAAGAATATCATTTCTATTCAATGAATAAATTACATAATTTCACTGGTAACACAACCATTCCACATGATAAATTAAAATCCAGGCTTTTTGATATCATTGACAGCTGCTTCTTCAATAAAAATGTTGTTTTATGGACATTGATATTGGATACTGTTCGTTATCTTTATATCCTTCTTTGATTGTGCATGTATGTTTTTTTTTATTAACTTTTGCACCAAGAAAGACCTCGTCGACAGCGGCAAAGGCTTCAAAGTTTAATCTGATTTGGCATTTAGGCATGAGGATTCTTTATCGAACCACAAATTCGGACTTTCAATGAAAGGACAAGATAGGGTAACAGCCGAATTTTTTATATTAAAATCAGAACACTGATAAAACTGTGATAGTTTGTAGTTGAGAAGTTAAAATGATGCTTACTTTAAGACAAGCACTAATTTTGATTCAAAGGCTACATGGAAGCCACTAGAGGGTTCAGAAACAGGTCATTTTCCCGAATTTCCTCAATTCTGGTGGATTTTCATTATATTTGGGTACATTTCTCTTCGGAAAACATAGAGCACACGCTTGCCTATCTGAGACTTTTACACATATACTGCATCTGATATCACACTCTCTACCATCGGCTCATACATTCACCTCTGTTGTTGGCTCGCGTATATCACAGTGATAAACACGAGAAATAGTGCGTTTGTTTTACTTGATTATAATACATTTTCTATGCTTATGTCTGAGTTTTGAGATAGATATTTACTTAATAAATCCAAAACTATCCATTTAATTTGAAACAATCCTGCAAATATCACGTTTTATACGTTATGTCAAAAATTTTGACGTGAGCCCATTGCAGAGGTGTCTGAGAGAGGAACGAACGACAACTCTGCATAGGAGATTGCTGATATCAGTGTATAAGATATATAAATTTGGTAGATAGGCAAACGTGTGCTCTATGTTTTCCGAAAGAAAATGTGCTGTATAATTAGTGAAAATTTGCATAAAAATGAGAAATTTCGAAAAATGACCTATTTCCTGACCTCACTGTGACCTCTGTATATTCTTAATTTTAAAACCAGTACTCATTTTGTGGCAGGGGTGAAAACAGGGTTTCATGGATAAACTGTTGGATCATTCTTAAAGACACCCAAAATCGGGGGCCAAATACTGGTCTTACCCTATCTTGTCCTTTATGGATTTAAGAACGACCAGTATTAAAGTTCAAAATTCCATTCAAACGATTTAAATCAGGAGCAGAGTAAATATAGACCTCCAAAAACATCTGAGGTGGGATCAGGTGTCATGTAGGAGTAAACATCCACTGCCGACCAGTCACATCCACCGTGTGCCCCTAACCATGGCTTGGAAATAACGGGAAAATCGGCCGCCAATTCAGCATTAAATACTCAATAATAGCCTTACAATAAGTATGAAAAAGTCAGTCAGCTTTTAACTTGATGTCAGATTGTTTTTGCTAAAAAAGTCATTGTATCGACCCATAAATATTGTATTCCTTAAAAACTTAAAGTATTGAACCCGTAATTGTGTCGGATTCAATGAAATTGAGTAAATAACAACAAATAATATAAATAGGTTAAATAGCTAGTATATATACACATGTATGATTGTATTTTGTGTAATGTCCCTGTCGAGAATTTTTCTCTCATATGGAGACGCCGTCACTTGCCGGTGAAGGGCTAGTTTTGTCGTATGTGCGGCACTCAGGGCCATTGAGCTGTGAGGGATCTTTTTCGTGCCGAAACCTAATGCGATACGGGACCTCATTTTTTATCCGATCCACGTCCCATAACTGAGACATAATTCATGACGAAATTTATTACTTTCAATATATGTGAGAATGGAATACATGCACGTCCTAAAAATACTAACTAAAGTTAAAATAATAATCTTAACTGAGAACTTACTGAATTTGTTTTGATTTGAACTATAGGATAAAAAATCTTATTTATTCTTTAAAAGTATATTTTCTCAGGATATGGCTTGACTATATGCATATATCATTCAACTGCAGTTAAGAATCAAATTAGTAAAATGAATTAATTGTTCTTGCATATACGTATTAATTAAAATGTTTATCTTTATATCTATTAATAAAACTATGATCACCACAAAAACAAGTTCAATTTAAGTTGATTTCACGCGTTTTGATAATTTCAATGAGCTATTAATTTATAGCTTTTTATATTTATTTTCAGTGCATAGAATTACTTCCCCTGCTTACCTTAGCTGAATTTAATGGATTTGTTCAATAACATACATAGTTATACTGGCTTTTAAAATTTGAAAGATAAGGTGTGTTGAAAAAATCTATAGGTAAAGAAAAGTTTCAATGTTTATTTAAGTTTATTATGGGCAATTTAAAATAGCAAAGAGCGTCCTAAAGAAAAATAGAAATCGATGATCACAGTTTTAAAACTTTGTAAACTGCCATATAATTCAGATATAGTGCATATGCTAATCGTCGATTATATCTAAAATACTAAAACCAAGGAAAGAGGTAAAAAAGTAAGTAGAAAAACATAGCGTTTTACATATTTTAATAGTTGAAAATTAAACCATCTGTAAATTTGATTTAAATTCACTTCTTTCTTTTGTAATTCAAAACAAGTTGTGTTTGTGAAACACTGATGCCCCCGTATAGCAACATAGCAAAGATTTAACTTTTCTTAAATGCAAATTTAATGAATTGGTACCAATAGTAGGATATTCTCACTGGAAAATAATTGTAAAATTTGAAAGTAGGCCAATGTTTCTTTCAATAAGTACAAAAAATGTCCAAGATCAAGGTAAAACAAAGGTCAAGGCAATTGGTATCCAATGAAAGGTCTTGCCACATAGAATGCTTTTGTAGAGTACGGAAGCCTTCGCAATAATTGTTCAGAAGGTATGGCCAATGTTAATTTTTATTACCAATCATGGCTTTCCTGTTCTTGAGAAGATTTTTTATCTATATAATCCTATGTAAAACTTTGAAAGTCCATTGTGGCCCCAACGGGGTCAATTTTTAAACAAATATGAATCTACACTACCTAAGGATGATTCCAGATGAGTTTCATCTCTCCTGGCCTTGAAAAGAAAATCTTCAAAAGATGAATTTTTCACGAATTTATAGTTATTTTCCATCCAATGAGGGTGTGGTCCTCTATTAAAACAAACTTGAATCCCCTTCACCTGTGAATAATTTGTGGCAAGTCTGGTTGAAATTGGCCCATGGTTCTTGAGAAGATGAAAATGTGAAAAGTTTACGACAACAACGATGACGACACAACGACAGACAATGGACAAATTTCGATCAGAAAAGCTCACTTGATCCTTCGGCTCAGATGAGCTATAATAATGAAAATAAAACTAGCTCCATAACTGTTGTAGAGATAAGACGGCTGAACCTACATATATGAATCTACATTCGTACTATGTCTTCTTAGATGTTCGAACATTAATAGATTTGCATCCTGTGATACTGCATATTGAAACTGAATACAAACAAATGCCAAATGCATGAAATTTCAAATGCAAAAGTTGCATATAGTTTCTTTCATCCCGATTCAGAAAACAGCTTCGTATTTCATTCTGCTGAAAACATCATGCCGAAGAAAAGAAATCAGGACCCTAACACTAGACAGACCTGGAACAGAGCATCTCTGCAACCGGCGCAACAGCATTCTGCTGCAAAACTGGATCAGACTCGTGACGGCGAAAAACCTGTTCCGGAACTCACACAAGAAAAGGAGTCATCCAGTCCATTGTCCGTAGAAATGGATAAATGTGATTTGTTACAAGGTAACAAAAAAAACCCTGAATGATCCTATAGCTAGTACCAACAATTCCAAAAATACTTACGATCACAATGTACTTAAGGAGGGATCGAGTCTTGTCCGGTTTCTGGTAAAATGAAATACTCAAAAGTATATTTAGTTATACAATTGGGCTGCCGTTCATGAGTCCGTTAATGGTCACATATGAATTGAAGTTATACTGTTAGTTGATAATACATTGATTTGTCGATATATTTAAAACATTTTTGTGACGTCATTCTTTTGTTTCTACAGTCTCATATATTAAAGAGAGTACTAGCTATAGTCAAATATTATTGTCAGGAGTACAATATTATATCTAATATTGTACTCCAAAATAATACTGGACTGTGTGAAACAAAGGATGACGTCTCCTAGATTTTGCACAGCTAATGAATAAGGCAAAAAATAAATAAACATTATGCATTTTATATAGAAATCAACATCTCGTAATGCAATTCAAGTAATGTAGCTATCAACATCTCATAATCCAATTTAAACTTCAAAATAGGAGTATCTCAGAAATCCCTTAGAATTTACACTCCGTCCAGACAGGTCACTGATTGTGAAACAACCGATATTGAAGCACTTACTTTAAATCTGTGAATATTCCGAAAACACATCCAAATAAATCGACGTTACATGTAAGTGGTCCATTGTATGACGTTAGTATTCACAGGTCGAAAAAGCGTTTACACTCGATCTGTTGATATATCCCATACAACTCCGATTTTTTTCAAGGAACATTTATGTTCAAAATATATTTCCAAATTAATTTACGTAAAGATGTGGTGCTTCCGATATCCAAGGGACAAAAACGGCGCTTTCCTGAAATATATTTGCCTTCTGGTCACTTACAATCCATACCTTAAAAAAAAATTCCTTCACAATACTCCCAGAATCGCTTATTATCATGAAGTGCTCAGCTCTTCTTAATGCGTCTGTAGAGTGTCACAACGATAAATAATAAATGATTGGGCTTCAGTAAAGGGTTTTAATTCAAAACCTAATATCTAAAACCTTTAAGCGCCCCATCCACGTGGTTTGGTCACCGTTACAAGTATCGTAATTATTACAATAGCCAATACAAAAGTGCATTGAAAAAATGTTTTAAGTAAGATACAAAACTCAGATGGTCTATTATGTCAGATACGGGACTGAGACTCGGTGCTTCGCACCTCGTCCCAGTCCCTTGTCTGAAATATTAGACCATCTTCGTCTTGTATCCCTTAATTTTAAAATGTCAAGTTGTAGACCGCAGAAAATATTTTCTTTTTCGCATGTATGTAATGGTTATAAGCCGGTAAAACGGATGTTTGCGACCGTTAAATCAGCATTAACGGTCGCAAATACCAAATTAGAAGTTTAGTTATTCCCATTCTAATGCAATCCATGCATTTTGTTTGTTGTTTACGTCTTATTTTGTTGAATTTTGTTACATGAAATACGTCACGGAGCATTGTATTTTTGCGTCGCTCTATTATGACGTCACAATGAAAAAGCTTCCACGCTCGTTAATGCTCGTTTTACTGCTTCAAACATCAGTGCATTAGCCAATCAAAGAGTGTTTTACAAAACAATTGCATTAGAATTACCGATATTTACCAAATTGAAGATATCCATAATTTTAAGAAACAAAATTCTTTACTTTACATAGTTATTTCCCCTAAAGTAGGGTGTTGCGTTTCTTTTTCGTGTCAGTATATTTATGGTATTTCTAAGTTAGTAAATATGCAATTAATACTTTATTTCTACTTTTAGAAACGCAAGAAAGTGTGGACTACTTTGACGATATTGGTTTTCCGGAAACAAATGTAGCTCTAGTTGTAGAAGATAAGAAAATTCACGTTAACAAAGCTGTCCTTTCCAAACATTCACCTGTGTTTAACGCCATGTTTTATGGAGGCTTTAAAGAGAGGACTGCAAAGGAGATCAAATTGGGAAACAAAAAAGCTAAGGATGTTGTGGAGTTTCTTCGATGCTTTTATCCAAACATGAAACATGCAATAACAGGTATATCTATCAATTAACATTAAAATGATCTATATTTTAACGATTAAATACTGTAGTACAATGTATAATGAAAAATATAGGATCTCCCGTGGTTTGTTGTTGGATATCATTTGTGTTTTTAAAAAAAAATATTTTAAAAAACACACACAACTCATTGACTGTAAATCATGTTCATGCAGCCACAATTTATGGAGATTTCTATTTTTCAGTCCATCTATATAGATGAATCGACTTAAATTTTATAAATTCCTTTGATGAGGTCGATCCATAGAGATATATATTTCAAAGAATAATTTTGAATCATATTTTCACATAGATTCCCATAACACAATTTGAAAAATAATGGGAACAAGTAGGAACCTATATATAGTATATAGGTCCCTGGAACAAGGCACATTTTCTCTTTAACACTTAAAGACTAGAAATCAAAATACTGTATGTTAAGCAGTTTATGGAATAGTGTTTTCTTTGTATCAATAGAGTAATGTATATGATTTACTTATAGTACTGAAATTCTACATTTATTTGATCATGTTTTGTATCAATTGTTGATAACATAAAATTATCCGATATGTTTTGAATATAAAGTAGATCCTAATGCAATGCACTGTCACGTCTCATCAATTACAGAACATTAAAAATATTAATACAAGATGATTTTCAGAAGCATAAAGTCGATATGCATTTAAGGTTCTTTAAATAGTAACTCAGGTCTAAATGTTGTTTATGACTGCTAATCAAAGTTTATCTGTCTGAAATGTAGCAGTAACAATAGATTTTGTTGATAAACATAGATTCACGTTAGTAAACTATAATTTACAATCGTAAACTATAATTAAGAGTTATAAACCATAGTTTACAAATCGTGAAACTGTATTGATTAGATAATAATGTTTCGCAATCGCAAATCATTGTTTTCGGTGTTAGGTATAGTTTTCGGTTGTGAACAATAGATTATCGAGTTAATTATCGTTTACAGGTGTAAAATATAGATTAACTTGTTAACTATAGTTTACAGTCTGTAAACTATAGTATACTGTCGATAAACCTAGATTAGTCGATAAACCTGGTTTATCTACTGTGAAACTATGTTTAGATCATTTTTTTTAATTTGGCATGCTATACACTTCAAATAGCTGATATCATTTATTTGAACAGGTGTATTCTGAGGTAATATCACGAAACGACAATATAAAAAATGGCACCTCAACCATTAAAGAAGTTTATATACAAGTATTCAGATCATAGTTCTTTTTTTGATGTCAATGATTTTTTTTTACCAGAGATCAATGTACTGAAAGTACTACCATTGGCACACGAATACCAGTCGCCTCTTGTTGATAATTGTGAGAAGTTGATGATAAGCAAGTGTAAACAAGGAACGGGTCTGACAGTGACGTCACTACTGGATTACATCATAGCGGCCGAAAAATATGACTTGGAAACATTCCTGGATACTGCAGTAGAATTTTGTTCCCATGTTGATTTTGATCTTCTTAATGGGAAGACGATACAAAGAAGACAAAGTCGATATGATAACTATTCTCGTCATTGGATTTACGATGACTGTGTGCAGGAAGATAAGGAAATTTCTTCAAAATTTTTAGACATTACTCTTAAAACCCGGCATGCGATATCTGTCGAAAGACTTCAAGTACTTGAAAAGAATAAGAGAAAGATGAAAATTGGGGAACAAAATGAGGAAGATTATCATATGATATTACATGCAATTAATTTCGACATTTCATTATATACTTGAATACTGAAATGTTCAGTGTACATGTTTAATACAGTGATAATTAGCGAACATCCAATTTAAATCTGTAATTTATTTATTTCAGTAAACTTATAATCATTGTACCTGTTTAGTGTCATTTTTGTTTTCATATGTAAATCGACAGTCTGAGACTGTTTGCTATTATATCCGTAGGAACTCGTCGTTTTGGATTGTTAAAAATAAATAAAATCGTAATTAAACTAAAGTTTATAAATAACATAACCTGTTAAAAGAAGTTGAAAAGACGAAGTAAAGGCAACTGTTAATCTGTAGATTGCATACCAAAATTGATATAACAATACAGAAATTTTCTTACTGATACCAAAAACTTTTAAACACCGTTAACATATAATTTTATATCTGAATTAATTGTATAGCATTTCCAAAATCTCTAATTATAACAAGACGCTTAGAATCATAACATGAAAATTTAAATGTTATTATAGAGATCGAAGAAGCGTCAAGTGGCAAGACATGGCTCTGTGAACTTCTCAATGTAGTCCATTCTTCAGACTCAGCTGCATACCAAAGCATTGCTGTTTTAGTGTTCCCATTCTTGTAGTTCTTGCATGAGAAAACATTAAAATACGAAAAAATCGGACGGACAGATAGACTTAAGGGTGAACCAACAAAGGCCGGACAATGAGTGACCAGAAAAGCTTTAGCTAGCAGCTCTGGTGAGCCACAAAATACAAGAGGCCTGATGGGCTTGAATTATTCTTTTGATAATTTGTACAATATGTCGCTTCCATTTGAAGCCTCCAGCTCTATCATAAGACCCTAAATGCATCAACTGACAAAGTTTGATAATTCCTAGCCAGTTGAGACTGAAGATATCATAATTTAGGAGTAATTATAAAATACCATAAGTAGGTCACTGTGACCTACTTTTTGATTGAAATTGTTGAGGCCTCAAGATGCATTAATTGACTAAAATTGATAATTCTAAGATAAAAAGTACTTCAGATATTCAAATGTAGGTCACCATGGCCTATTTTCGGTCGACATTCTCCTAATACCCAAGATGCACCAACTGACAAAGTTTGACGATCCTAAGCCAATAATTATAAGTATCCGAGATTAAATATAACCACAAGCAAATTCAAAGAATTGTGGTCCCCCGCTTTCGGTGTCTTTGTGGGTGAGGTGTTATTTTTTATGACATATTGTGTCTAATATGAACATCCTATCATATGTCATTCATTTAGAAATTATCATTGAAGTTGATTTTTTTAAGGATGAAAACCCTAATCCTGACCGTTAAAAAGTTATGGCCAAAGTTAAAGTTTTTTAAAAGTAGTTCAACTCCAAGGTCACGATCAAAGGGTCAAAGTTCTTGATATCCAATGAAAGGTCTTCTCACAATGATAACATATGTGAAGTATGAAATCCCTTCCCTTTCCGTTCAAAAGTTATGGTCAAGTTTAAATTTTTTTATAAGTACAGTGTACGTAAATATTTAAGGTCAAGGTCAAAGGTCAAAGTTGTTGATATCCAATTAAAGGTCTTACCACAAAGAATATATATTTGAAATATGAAAGTCTTAGTATCTACTGTTCAAAAGTTGTGACCAAAGTAAAAGTTTTTCAAAAGTAGTTAAAACTCCAAGGTCAAGGTCAAAGGGTAAAAGTTCTTGGTATCCAATGAAATGTCTTCTCACAAGGATAACATATGTAAAGTAAAAAAGCCCTAGCCCTCACCGTTCAAAAGTTATGGTCAAGGTTAAAGTTTTTTCATAAGTACGTAAATCTCAAAGGTCAAGGTCAAAAGGTCAAGGTTGTTGATATCCAATTAAAATTTTTGTAACATAAACACATATGTGAGAAATAATAGTCCTAGTATCTACTTTTTAAAAAGTTGTCACCAAGTTAAAATTTTTAGAAAATAGTTAAAACTCTAAGGACAAGGTCAAAGGTAAAAGTTCTTGGCATCCAATGAAAGGTCTTCTCACAAGGATTATATATGTGAAGTACGAAAGCCTTAGTCCTCACTGTTAAAAAGTTTTAGTCAATGTTAAGCATTAAGTAGTAAATTTCCATGGTCAAGGTTAAAAGGTCAAAGCTGTTGGTATCCAATGAAAGGTCTTGCCACAAAAAATAAATATGTGAAATATGAAAGTCCTAGTACCTACCATTCAAAAGTTATTGCCAAAGTAAAAGTTGGAAATTTTTGTGTAAAAGTGGGTCAAATTCTAAGGTCAAGGTCAAAAGGTCAAATTTGGTGGTACCCAAAGAAAGGTCTTGTCAAAGGACAGACAAATGAGATTTAATGTCCCCTCGCTTTCGCGAAAGCGGGGGACAATAAAATGTCAAAAGTAGGGCACCATGACCTACATTTTGGGTCATCGTTTTTCAGAGATCCGAGATGCATCAAAGATGCATCGTTTTTCAAAGACCCGAGATGCATCAACTGACAAAGTTTGAGGATCATAAGTATGAAAGTATTCAAAAGTTGCCTTTTAAACAATTTTAAAATAAATGCCTGCAGAATTTTAAAAAATAGGTCACAGTGACATAATTTTTCATAAACATGATTTGAGGTCCTAAGATGCATCAACTTACAAAATTTGATGATTAAATCTAAACCTTTTAGTGTCAGAAATAAGGGATAAAATGTTTTAGAAAAGATTAGCCATGAAATTAAAAGAGTAGGTCAGATGATCTACTTTTAAGTTGACCTTGTTCATGGATCCAATATGCATTTACAGACAAACTTTGATATTCATCAGCCTTAAAGTGTCCAAAATATGCCCCAAAATCAATTTGAAAACAAATGCCCCCAAAAGTAATTTTTTTTACTGAAGTATTTAGGTACACAACTGTAGTTTTCTAGTAAATAAAATTTGGACATTTTATCAGATATTTAATATTTATTTGAAATTATAGATATATACAGCTCAACGCACTTTTTTAAACTCACATGGTTTTTCGCACAAATTAAGGTCACAATGTTATAATGCAATTTTGTGTAACGTGACAACAAAATATATCTTAAAAAGTTATTTATAACTTAAAAATTTTGATCCTATTCCATTACTTTAATTATAATTTACACATAATAATTCTTAGGATTTTTATATGCTCCTGGATGAATGATTATGGCAGTTTCAAATGGTTTAATCATGGCTTTTCTCGTCAAATACAACTGTCTTTGTATCCGTTCCTTTTAAAGCATATCTTTGCCTTTCCTAAATACAGAAACAGTACAGTCCACGTAACCTCTGTGTTTTCTGTACATAAATATGATACTCAGGCGCAAGATGATGGAAGTATATATTTCCCAACTGTTTGACTGATTTTCATGTTAAAAACATGACATTTTTTCAAGTTAACTTTCTGAAATCTAGCATCATGACATTTCTTTGGGTATTTTATATTCTTTATTATTGCACTTATTAAAAACTCAGGAAAAAATTACACAGTCTGTATGTGGCGCTTGGCCTTAAAAGAGCAGACAGTATCCCATTGCAGGTTGTTGCTTTAGAAAATCTTTTTTAAAAATTAAAAATATTTTTGCTTCCAGTGAAAATCTTTAGAAAATGAATCAACAAACATTTATATGTTTTCTATAGATACGTATAGCAACGGAATTAAGTAGTCAACACAAGATTGTGCCACAAAACTACGGCAAAATTAGAGGACACGGGAGTTTAATGGAATAGGTTTAGGCACCAAGACACGGGAAGACTTTTTAAAAGCGATATGATAATCAATCATCATTTTAATTTGAATTTCAATGAATTACATAAGGGACTGTTTCAACCTTGGGAATCAACATCTTAAAACTTGGACAAAGCAGTGATTAGTGGACATGGTAGAGTCGGGAAATTTGTTTTCAAACAGATCATTTAAGGGTCTTGTCATAACACCAAGATATTTGGCAATTCCACAGGACAAGAGTCCATATGGTACCGATTAGGCAAATGTTTGATTAGACAGATGATAATAATAAGCGATGTGTTGGCACTTTTATCTAGTATATACATTTATATCTATTAAATTTATTCGTTGAGTTCAGCTTTGTAAATCTTGTATGTTTAATAAAAAGGTTGAGATAATATCAGTTAAGTACGTCGTCTTTATTAAGGCGGGACGCATTAATTGGATTGTATTGCAAGTAGATCAATTAATCTAAGGAGAAGATCGGACGAAAAATCATTGAACAAACATCAACACAGTCACAAAATTTAGATACAACGTATTAAAGAGCAGAGACATAAAGTATGGACAGTGATGACGATATTGGTTTTCCAGAAACAGATGTAACTTTAGTTGTAGAGGATAAGAAAATTAACGTTAACAAAGCTGTCCTTTCCCAGCATTCACCGGTGTTTAACGCCATGTTTTCTGAAAGTACTGAAAGGGAGATAACTCTGGATAAGAAGAAGGCTAAGGACTTTGTTGCTTTTCTCAGATGTTTTTATCCAAACATGAAACATACTTTAACAAGTAATGTATACTGTATATATAGATGTTTTCTTTTTAAATAAGTTTGGTATTTTCAAATGTTCGAATTCATTATTTCCATTACGCAAAGCGATCCTTTTTTTTAATATTAACATAATTTTCTTTCAGAGGAAAATGTGTTAAAGATATTACCTTTAGCACACGAATACCAATCTTCTGTGGTTAGTAATTGTGAAAAATTAATGCAAAGCATGTGTTGACGAGAAAAAGATCTGACAGTGACAACACTACTGGATTTCATCCTAGCAGCCGAAAAATATGACCTGAAAAATTTTCTAGACACGGCGGAGAAATTCTGTGCCGACGTGGATTTCGATCGTCTCAGGGGAAAATCGTTTGAAAGAAAACCAATACACGCGTATGTTAGCTATAAGGAATCAAATGTCGAAAATATTTCTTCAAAATACTTCAGAATAGATCCTAAAACACGACTTGCCATAGCAGAAAACAGATTGAAAACTCTTGAAATGCGTAATAGAAAGATAAAGAATGGAGACTCAGTAGATGAAAGTGATATAGACATGTGCTTAGAATTTTGCAAATGTCATTATGTATTTTGAGAGAAAAAAAGAACTTCCTAAATAAGAACCACGATGAATTTTTATGCTGGCATGAAACTCTACTCTTGATGCTCTTCAGTTACTTTTTTCAATATGATAATCACGTGATGCAAAAGTACTTAAAAGAGTATTTAATATTTTTGTGTGTCAAAAAATATCTTTAATTACATTTTAAACTTTAAAAAATTGTGTTGTGTAGTGCTAAAAATATATTTTAATCTTAAATAATTCATCAGACTTGTCAAGGTGTTGGGCACTAAACAAGTAAAGGCTGGATTTGAGCGTAGGGCGTTTGTCTTTTTCTTCAAGGATAACTTACTTCCGCTTTGATATAACCCGTTTATTTCGTTGATTTAAATGTTCAGCTAAATATTTATAGCGTAAAAGAGCTTCCGTACATGTATATTGTCCCAGTGTAAAAGTAAGCCGTCAACTGTAAAAGTCAGCGCTCCTTGCAAAAGTCCATCAAGCAACTGAAGGGCAATATGAAAACTATCTTTCATTCTACGTTCAATAATTCAAAAGTGAAAAAAAAAGATTACACGATCAGTATGTACTGATGATAAACCAAGTTAAAAAAATGTCTTTGTTTGTAGGGCGTATTACTTATTTAATTTTTCTCGAGGAACTGATTTAATTCTGCAATTGATAAACCAACTTATACGCTTAGCTCCCTTTCCAAGGAGGAAATTCTTCAAAACCATATGTCCGTTTTGAATATTTTGATATTTTTAATATTCCCAGCAGCCATAAAGAAATATTGGATTCCGAAACTTCATAAAAATCCTTACAAACAAAGATGCATAATGGATTCCGGTAACTGATCTTCCAAGCCTCTTTCTTAACTCTTACCTAAAAAATAAACAGTAGTGAAGATAAAATTGGGCAACATTATATTCGAAAAGTTGTATAAATCAAATGTGGAGTGGAAAATTTAAAATCACTAAACTTCAAGAAAATTAACATTAGAAACTTATGATTTTCAACTTTATAAACCACCATTCCCCACGATAAATTAAAATCCAAGGGCAGGCTTTTAAATTTTTTTACAGCTGTATTTTTTCAGTGTCATATGACATGAAGCTGAATAAAACATTTCTTGCATTTGGTTTACCAGAGAAAGGAACCTCAAATAGAACAATGAATCATGGGACTTTCAATGACCTGAATTCAATAGTGCTAAGGTAGTAAAGTAGGCTACAGCAACGTAGCATCGTTATTGGAAGGGGGGGGGGGCAGCCGGAGAAAAAAATTTACTCACCTTAAAAGTTGACAAGCCAAAAAAAGGAAAAGTTGCCCCAAGTCAAAAATCTTATTTCATGGAGGGGGGAGCCTACTTTTTTCAATGCCATCTTCTTTCGGTACATATTTTTGGACCAACAGTACTACATTTTCCTTATATCACATAAAGTTGGTGGGCCAATCAGCCTTTCAATGAACATTTCCTAGAGTATAAGTAAGGTTGGGGGAAAAAGGGTGGGGGCAGGCCCGCTCTGTTGCTACATGCCTGGGCTAACAGGTTAAATGGACTACACAGGATTTTTAATAAACAGGATACAACTTCTTCTTTTTTTTTTACCACTCGGTTCCTTTAGTAACTCTATTTCAGAAACCTTTATTTCAAACCCATGTTGTATGAATTTATCGACCATTTTCCTAGTTTAAAATGCTTTCATACCTTCACAATTAACTGTTAAACTGTTTCTATAAGCAAAAATTTACCTTCAATGGAACCCAAATTGTAAATTGCAAATTTTCACCCCCCCCCCCCAAATCCCGCACACACAAAGAAAAATGGTACATTAAAATTACATAAAATGGCTTGTTGCAATATTACCGTATATATATCTTGCGATAAGATGATAGGTTCGATGGATTAAGCACTGTTTCCATACTTGATCGCTTAACTGTGAAGTCTGAAGACAAGTATTTTAAGATCTCACTTAAATATCCGAAACAACACAAAAGGCATTATAAAAAAGTAATTTCTAAGTGGAAAAAGGAGAAGAAAGTCTAAAAACAATCTTGTCGTCCCGTCACTTAAAGTCAAGAGATTGCTCCGGTGAATCCTATGACCGCCTTGTTTAAACTGTTGTAAATTTTCAAAGTTTTTGTGAATGAACTTGGCTTTTTACATACTAATAAACAGAAGATAGGAATTTAATCAGACATAGGTCATACTTCATAGTACACAATAGATTTTGCGTAAATCAATGTGTCCGCGAACGTTTCTAACAACCCTTGTATATGCACATTAAATATCGTTTGTCATAATAAGTAAATAAAAAATGAGATAACAGTGCGTAGATAAAAAGTACGAATACGTTGTTCATTAGTCATCAGTGTGTGGAAAGAGGCTGTTGTCTAATTCAGGTATGTCCCTACTTTTCAAAGTATTGTTATACCCCCCGCTTGAAAAGTGGGAGGGTATACTGTAATCGGTATGTCTGTCCGTCCGTCTGTACGTCCGTCCGTCTGTTACGCTTTAGGGTACCCATCTCTTATCCACAACTCCTCTTATACCACTGAGTGAAATTTAATGAAACTTGCACAGAATCTTTATCACGTATTGCCATTGTGCACCTCCTATTTTACTTTTTGATCCGACACATATTTTGGGTTTCCCGGCCACAGCAAAACATGGACTTTGTCATCAGTTATAACCATATAGGAGGCGGGGGTATCATTTAGTGAGTTCAATGCTCACAGTACCTCTAGTTATCCTTGGAATCATTTACATTAGAATAATATATAATATGTATCCTGCTTTTAAATCTGTTTATTTTTAAATATATCATACGTTTTGTTAAAAATTTCATAAATAGTGCCATTTTCTTGACCTATTGATTCAAATTAGTAAGAAGTGTTGCTAAATGAAAAATTAAAAGAATATATTTAAAAATCAGACTTTTCCATGCTTCACTATGCCCTTTTCCTTTCTTATATATTAGATTTACATCTGCTGTATTTTGAAAAGCTGAAATTGAATATCTCACAGGTTTCACTTTCTTTCTACAACTTCTGGAACATATAATCCCGCTTATCAATCAATAATCTTAAACGTGAAGAAATGTAACGATAACTCGTATTTCTTTATGTAAAAAGCTATTTACTCCCTTTTTTGTACTGTGAAACAATTTTTGAGGTCCCTCTGAATGCCTTCCACTTCAGGCGCTTCTTTTTTACAGAGCGCTGGTTTTGTAGCAATTGTCTCCGTTCATCTGAGTCAACGGCTCAAGTGAGCTTTTCTGATCAGTTTTTCCGGCGTCCCTCTGTCTGTCTGTCCGTCTTTCTGTAAATTTTCACATCGACTTCTTCTCAAAAAACCGTTGGGCCAATTTCAACCAAACATGGCACAAAGTATCCGTGGGTGAAGGTAATTTAAATTTGTTCAAATGAAGGGTCACGCCCTCATTCAAGGGAAGATAATTCAGAAAAACTGAAAATTTGTTGGTATGATTTTAAAATCTTTTTCTCAATAACCACTGTGCCAGGAAAAATGAATCTTATAGGGAAGCATCCTCGGGTAGTGTAAATTCAAGTTTGTTCAAATCATGACACCCGGGGGTAGGGCGCCACAATGGCCGGTCAAAGTTTTACATAAAAATATAGGGAAAATCTTTAAAAATCTTCCTCTCAAGAAAAGCAAAGGCATGAATGATCATATTTATATGGAAGCATCCTCACGTAGTGTAGAGTCAAGTTTGTTCGAACCGGGGCTACAATGGCCGGTTAAAGTTTTAATAGAAATATACAGAGATTTTTTTAAATCTTTTTTCCAAGAACCACTGTGCCAGGAAAGGTGAAAGTTATAGGGAAGCATCCTCAGATAGTATAGATCCAAGTCTGTGCAAATCATGACCCCCTGGGGTAGGGGGGACGCAATGGCCGATCAAAGTTTTACATAGAAATATATAGGAAAATTCTTTTAAAAATCTTCTTCTCAAGAACCACGGTGCCAGGAAAGAAGAAACTTACAGAGAAGCATCCTCAGGTGGTGTAGATCAATAGAAAAATTCTTTAAAAATCTTTTCAAGAATAGCAATGCCATGGTTAGTCATATATCAGGAAGCATCCTCGGGTAGTGTAAATTCTAGTTTGTTCAAATTATGACCCCTGGGGTAGGGCGGTGCCACAATACGGAATCCAAGTTTTACATAGAAATATGTAGAAACATTCTTTAAAAATCTTTTTTTCAAGAAAGGCAAAGCCATGGTTAGTCATATAGGTACAGTGTGGTGTAGATTCAAGTCTGTTCAAATCATGACTCCTGGGGGTAAGGCGGAGTCACAACAGGGAATCGAAGTTTTACATAGAAATATATAGAAAAATTCTTTCAAAATCTTCTTCTCAAGAATGGCAAAGCCATGATTAGTCATATGATAATATATATGGAAGCATTTTCAGGTAGTGTAGATTCAAGTTTGTATTGCTATTCGAAGCCTGTTTTTGCCTTATTGGATAAAGTTGTAGGAAATTTAAGGTTATTAAAACTACATTTACAATGTACATATTACAAACACTTATATAACAAATATTTGGCTAGGCTTAAAACAATATATATAGTAAATGACAATTACTGTTCATGCTCTAAGTAATATTGTGAAAAGAATTTCAGGAATTTGGTGAACAAGTTCCGGAAATCGTATGAAGTTATACATACGTTTATAATATCAATTATCAAAAAAAAAAAAAATTGGAATTTCAGGTACTCGCAGTTACAACGAATATGTCCAAGATAGTAGGCGATGGCTACTCGGATGACATTGGTTTTCCAGAAACAGATATAACGCTAGTTATAGAAGATAAGAAAATTCATATCAACAAAGGCGTTCTTTCCAGACATTCTCCAGTTTTTGAAGCCTTGTTTTCTGGAAGTACTGAAAGGGAGATAACGCTGGAGAACAAAAAGGCTAAGGACTTCGTTGCTTTTCTCGGATGTTTTTATCCAAACATGAAAAAACAGATAACAGGTTCAAATCATTCAAAATAATGTAAAATTACATATTTTGTTTGGGGTGTAATATTCGTGGTATTCGAGGTAAGCAGAGATGCAAGATTTTATGTCCAACATAAAATTTAATTTTTCTCAGACATTACTTTTCAACTATTCTTCATACACGAAATGAAATCCCTACGAACCTATATTATTTCCTCAAACCGCGAAAATTTGACCATGCAAAAATACTGTAGGTCACTTAATTTTCGCAACACCTTATTTTCGCTAGATAGTCATTGACACGTTATAAGCGAGACAAAATTTTCACGAAGTGTGGTCATTGCTATATATAATCTTAAGGAATTCTATAATACGCGAGAATGAAATTTTTGCGAGCATATCGTCACGCGTAATTAAGCGAAAATAAAGTTCTCGCGAATAAAATGTGATTTACAGTATGTGAATTTACAGTATACCAGTTTCTGTCAAAATTAACGTTTTTACAATCGTAGTTAGAGTGATTAAACTTACGATGTTATATCATTTCCTTTTAGAACAGAATGTATTGCAAATATTACCGTTGGCACACGAGTACCAGTCTTCAGTAGTTACCGACTGCGAAAAATTCATGCAAAGCATGTGCAACCAAGGACAAAACCTGACAGTGACCACATTTCTGGATTTCATCTTAGCAGCCGAAAAATATGATCTACAAAATTTTCTAGACACGGCGGTGAAATTTTGTGCTCATGTGAATTTTGATCTTCTCAACGGAAGGCAGTTTGAAAGAAGACCGGTATACAAGGGATTTAACTACACAGAAAGAGTTAACAAAACAATCTCTCTTCAGTGCCTAAAAATTGATCCTAAAACTCGTCTTGCTATCGCAGAAAACAGACTTAAAACTCTTGAAATGCGTAACAGAAAGTACACGAACAAAGACCCATTAGATGAAAAGGATAAAGACATATACATGTATATGCCATTGGTTTAATATCTTTAAGAATATTATCTTTATATATCTTATATTTTTAGGAAGAGGGCTATAATAGGCTTAACCAGCTGCCCGGTCTCATTTACTTTTATTTGTCAATAAAATTTTGAATAAAATTTAAATATCTTTATTGAGAAAAAAACTTTACCTTCTTAAAAAGGAACCTTGAAGAAATTTAAACTATCACAAAATTTCTTTTAATGTTTTCAGCTCACCTGAGACAAAGGCTCAAGTGATCTTTTTCGATCAAAATTTGTCCGTCGTCTGTCTGTCGTTGTCATTGTTTTGTTGTCGTCATAGTTGTCGTAATTATCTTTTCACATTTTCACCTTCTTTTCAAGAACCAGAGGGCCAATTTAAACCAAACTTGCTACAAAGAATCCTAGAGTTAACGGAATTCCAGTTTTTTTTTCGAAATAAAGAGCCACGGTCTCTTTTAGGGGGAGGTAATTATGAATAAGTGAAAAAAATGATGGCATCTTTTAAAGCTCTTTTCCATAAGAACCACCGGGCCAGGAAAGACGAAACTCATGTGGAATCATCCTAAGGTAGTGAAGATTCAAGTTTGTTCAAATCATGACCCCTATGGTGGTGCCACAATGGCTGATCAAAGTTTTACAGAGGAATATATGGTGAAAATCTATAATAAAAAAATTCTCAAGAATCAATGAGCCACGAAAGATGAAACTCAGGTGGTGTAGATTGAGAGGTTTTTTTTCGAATCATGGCCCTGGGGGTAAGGAGGGCCACAATGAACGACCAAAGTTAAACACAATAATATATTTAATACATTTTTTAAAATTATCTCTACAAGAACAACAAAGCCCTGATTTGTGATATTAATTGGAAGCATCTTCAGGAAGTGTAAATTCAAGTTTCTTCATATCATGACCCCGGGGATAAGGTGGGACCACAATGGACAATCAAAGTTTAAAATAGAATTATCACGGGAAAATGTTACCTGTTACCTTAAAAGTGTGCAACGTAGAAGATACGCGTTGTATGTGTCACATATATAGGTATTTAAATGTATGTTCAATTTATAATGAAAGCCAAATAGAGATGAATTTAAACTTTGCAGAGGGGTATGTATTGAGGACAACCTGTACATGTTAATTTGTCGATAAAATTTAAAATGCGTCTATGAAGAGAATGTCTCTTCTGGTTCTGTTCAATAAAGGGACTTAATTATTGTTCCGTTTCATTGATTTTCTGTTTTGTAACATTGTTTTCACCCTCCAAATAAATACGTCACAATGCTAACCTAATTATATCCTCACTTTAAACCCTTCCTCCCATTCCCCAAAAAAAACAGACATGCATGTAAAATCAATGAAACGGAACAATAATTAAGTCCCGTTCTTTATTGAACACAACCAGAAGAACATACATTTAAATACCTATATATGTGACACATACAACGCGTATCTTCTACGTTGCACACTTTTAAGGTAAGTAATAATAGTTTACTTTCCCTCCACGATTTTTTTTGTTCAGAATTCGCTGTATGTCTGTCTGACATTTTGTACCTTAGTTAGAATAATCTGCGTCTCTATCTGTACCTTACCTGCAACGTCCTTCATCATAAAATTTGAATATATAAAATAAGAATGTCATGCTTCAATGTTAAAGAACATATGTTATCTATGACTTTAATTTTATGATTTGGTTGGAACCTAAGGCCATTAAGATCTGGTCAAGGAATGAGTCACTTGGAGTGAAAGTGAAAGATTCTTGTCCACTTTTTAATGTTTAAGTTTGACTTTAAAAGCCTAACAAATTTACTAATGAAAAAAAATTAACTCCTGTCAATTCATTAAATTATATTTTTCTAGACGTAACAAAATAAAAATGGCACGTTTGGTACCTTCTCAGAATGGAATCAATGCCGACAATAAAAGCAATGACAATTCGGAGTTAGAACCTGACTTTCCAGAAACGGATGTGACTTTGGTAGTGGAGGGTAGAAAAATTCATCTTAGTAAGACTGTCCTTTCTAAACATTCACCTGTATTCAAAGCCATGCTTTCTGGAAACTTTAAAGAAAGTACTTCTAAGGAGATACCACTTGCAGACAAAAAGTAGAAAGATGTTGTGGAGTTTCTGAGATGTTTTTATCCCAACATGGAGCGTAGTATCACAGGTAAATATGAAGTATTTAGTCTTAATTAGATAATTCATATTTCAATCGAAGTCTGGGGAATATTTTACCATTTATATTTTATAAATTTTTGAATTGGAAATTAAAAAAATTATTTTTTTTCCCCGTAATTTAATAAAAAGATAAGAGAGACTTCTTCGACAAGACGTGTAAAATATTGATTTTTCCTATGAAATGGAAACCGTTTTACAAAAGAACTTACTACTAAGACCAAAATTTAATTCTAATAAATTTCATTTTTACATAAAAAAGGAGATAATCTTAATAATTTCAAAGGGAGAGAAGGGAGAGTAGAAACATATACAGTATATATTATAAACAACTCTAACACGAAAATTTGACCATGCAAAAATATGTGATTTCACAATACACAAGTTTCTGTTAAAATTTACCTTTTTAAGATCGTAGCTAGAGGGATTAAACTAACGATGTTATATCATTTTCTTTTAGAACAGAATGTATTGCAAATATTACCGTTGGCACACGAGTACCAGTCTTCAGTAGTTACCGACTGCGAAAAATTCATGCAAAGCATGTGCTGCCAAGGCAAAAACCTGACAGTGACGACACTTTTGGATTACATCTTAGCAGCCGAAAAATACGATCTACAAAATTTTCTAGACACGGTTGCAAAATTTTGTGCTCATGTGGATTTCGGTGTTCTCAACGGAAGGCAGTTTCAAAGAATACATATGTACAATGGATTTTATAACTACACAGAAAGAGTAAACAAAGATATCTCGGTTCAGTGCTCAAGAATTGATCCTAAAACTCGTCTTGCTATAGCAGAAAACAGACTTAAAATTCTTGAATTGCGTAACAGAAAGTACACGAACAAAGACCCAATAGATGAAAATGATAAAGATATATATATGTCATGGGGTTAATATCTTTATGGATATTATTATCTTTATATATCTTATATTTTAAGGGATAGGGCTATAAAAGACTTTGCCCGCTGCACAATCCCTTTTTCTTTTATTTGTGAATAAAATTTTGAATAACATTAAAATACTAGTATCGTTATTGAGAAAACACTTTTCTTTTTCTTTAAAAAGAACCTTAAATGAATTAAAACTGACACAAAATTTCAACTTTTAATGTTTTCAGCTCACCTTAGGTGAAGACTCAAGCAATCTTTTCTTATCAAAATGTGTCTGTTGTCTGACGTCGTTGTCTTGATGTAGTACTTAAATTTTCACATTTCCACATTCCTTTCAAGAACCACAGGTCTAATTTCAACCAAACTTGCTTAAGCGTATGATAGGGTTTATTGGATTCTATTTTTTTTTAAACAAAGTGTGTTTGTGAAACACTGATGCCCCCGTATGGCAACATATCAAAGGTTAAGCTTTCTCAAATGCAGATCAAATATGTTGGTATCTAAAGTAAGGCCTTTTCAGAAGAAATACAAATGTGAAATATAAAAACCGGGAACCTTCTGTTCAAGGGTTATGACCAAGGTTTACATCTTTAAAGGTAAGACAAACTCCGGGGTCAAGGTCAAAGGGTCAAGGTTGTTGGTTTCTTAAGAAAGGCATTGTCTCAAAGATAACGAATGGGAAGTATGAAAGCGCTGGCCCTTACCGTTCAAAAGTTATGGCCAAGGTTTAAATTTGTAAAAAGTAGATCAAACTCAAAGGTCAAGGTTCTTTGTATCAAATGAAAGGTCTTGTGACAAGAATTAAATGTGTGATTATGAAAGCCATAGACCTAACCCTAAAATAATTAGGGACAAGGTTGTATTTCTAAAGTAGGTGAAACTCCTAGGTCAAGGTCAATGGGCCAAGTTTCTTAGTATCCAATGAGGCTTCTTTTTACAAGGATTACATATGTGAGTATGAAAGCACAAGCACATTCTGTTTAAAAGTCATAGCCAAGGTTAAAGTTTTTTCATAAGTACAGAAATCTTCAAGGTCAAGGCTGTTTGTATCCAATGAAAAGTCCTTCCACAAAAAACATATGTCAAGTATAAATGTCCTGGTATCTAATGTTCAAAAGATACGGTCAAAGTAAAAGTTTAAATTTTTTGTGTAAAAGTGGTTAAACTCCAAGGTTAAGGTCAAAAGGTCAAATTTGGTGGTACCCAAAGAAAGGTCTTATCACAAGAAATACACATATGAACTATGAATGTCATAGCTCCACTTAATCAAAAGTTATGGGCAAGGTTAAAGTTTTTGCGGACAAACAGACAAGCAGACACGCAGACAAGCTGACAGAAAGACAGACAGACGGACGGACGGACACGACAAAAACTATATACCTCTAGAAACCTCGTTTCGGGGCATTAAAAGAGCCGCGCTGTCTTCTAAGGGGAGATAATTATGAATAAATGAAAAATTAATGACAACTTTTAATTTGAAAAATAAACTCTTATCCTCAAGAACCATTGGACCAGGAAAGATGAAACTGATGTCGAATCATCCAAAGGTAGTGGAGATAAGAGTTTGTTCTAAATATGACCCCTAAAGTTTTGCTACAATGGCCGATCAAAGTTTCACATAGGAATATAAATGAAAATGTTTTATAAAAAAACTTCTTCTCAAGTTCAAGAATCAAAGAGCCAGAAAAGTTATAACTCATGTGGAATCCCCCTTATATGGTATAGATTCAAGATTTTTTTTTCAACGTTCGCTTCATAGAAGCATTTTAACTTTTCTCGAAAAATTAACGTTCACAGGTTGTCCTCGAGCTCAGTACATAACATTCTGCAAACTTTGAATTCAATTCATCTCTATTTGGCTTTCATTAGAAATTGAACCGACATTGAAAAACCGACAAACATTTGTGACAAATACACAGCGTATTGTACGCCTTCCACACTCTTAATTAAGGACGCTCTAAACACTGCACAGTAAAGAGCTCTT